ATCATTGAGCAAATTCCAGCAACATCAGAATCCACAAACAAACTCACAATATCAGTTCTCAACATCATTGAGCAAATTCCAGCAACATCAGGATCCACAAACAAACTCACAATTCTGCTTCTCAACATCATTGAGCAAATTCCAGCAACATCAGAATCCACAAACAAACTCACAATTCTGCTTCTCAACATCATTGAGCAAATTACAGCAACATCAGAATCCACAAACAAACTCACAATTCTGCTTCTCAACATCATTGAGCAAATTCCAGCAACATCAGAATCCACAAACAAACTCACAATTCTGCTTCTCAACATCATTGAGCAAATTCCAGCAACATCAGAATCCACAACTAAACTCACAATCCCCGTTCTCAACATCATTGAGCAAATTCTAGCAACATCAGAATCTACAAACAAACTCACAATTCTGGAAAACAAAGGAGACAAACACAGTCACAGACATAGATGCATGGTCCTCTTGGAAACCAACCAAGACATGATGTCAAATGTTTTGAAAAGAGTGAGAACATCCTGCTTCGCTGCAGTACCTGCCACATAACCTTCCTTGCGTTATATATCTCAAAACCATTAAATTAAATGTAAATTTTTGATTTGATTTAACAATATTAATTTTCATGTTAATAATTGCATCCCAATGCTGAAATGCAAATTTGTTATGACACATCAGACATTTGTCTCCTGAACCATTGTTCAATTTAATTTTTAATATGTTACCGTACTCAATCGCGTTAGCATCCAGGGGCCTCAACTCAGAAAATCACGATTTTTTAGGGGTGGGCACCCCCCTCGAAAAAGAGTGCAAATGAAAATTTTGATTCATCAAGTGACAGATTACCTTTTTGAGGGAAAATCAAATTACGAAACTCTCGATGAAAATCACTTTCTGCCATGATGCATTTGCAGATTTGACCTGCAGCAGCGTCCTTTGACCTAATGGGTCAAGTTGGTTATTGACCAATCAGAATGCTGTGTTGTACTGGCGCAATTCTTCAGAAATTCCTGAAGACTTTCCGGTAACGCAATGCAGAAGTGAATTATCGATGTCAAAGTATGATCTGTTGGAATTGATTTCAGCGCATTCACAACATGTTCACAGCTGTCGATATCCTCGCTGTATCATATAAAAATGATTATCAAGATTCGTTACCCAAGACTAAGTTTTAAATCAGTTGCATTTTGAAGGGGTGGGCGCTTTGCCGAATGTGCCCCTAAATATAAAAATTGCACAAAAATGGGGGGTGGGCGCTTGCCCAGGCATGGGAGCTAACGCGGTCGAGTACGGTTAATAACATTAACCTTTTAAGATGACTCGTTATCGTTACACGTCAATTCAACCTGGACCACCTTAAAGTTGTAGTGTTGATAAAACTTAGTTGAATGTCCTTTCTATTTTAAGTAACTAGGCCAAAATTAAAATCTGGTAGTTACAACATTCGCAAGCCATACTGATTGGAAGCTGACATATTGTGCTACTAAGTCTTATTGTCTTCATCATGCATTGCAATTGAAATTCATTCTTTGGTGTGCACTAAACATAACATTGATGAGCTTTCTTTTTCTTCTTTTTCTCCAGAGTGATGTACATATTAGGTTATATCCCACGTGATAACCGTCTATATCTCGGTGATAAAGAACTCAATGTTGTGAGTTACTCGTTGTTATTATCGGTGTTAGAATACCAAACTGCTGTCATGAGGAGAGATTTTGAAACCGCTGATAAAGTTTTACCCACAGTTCCACGAGAACAGAGGACAAGAGTTGCACACTTCTTAGAAAAACAGGTAAGACAATGTTTCCAGATCAATAGGGTCACAGCAAAATGTTTTATTAATCAGTTAATATGAGATTACAAGATACATCTGCATCTGAAATGTACACACTATTTTGTCTGCAGATCTTTCTTATCCGGTGATATGATTGAATATTTATGTTACTGATTTAGTGAGTTGCATGGGTTTTCGCAGATGCATAAATGTACTACTTTACAGTTATTCTAAAATAAAATATTATTTTTAATTCAAAAATTCTTTGAAAATAATAATTATTTTGTAATTTCATTGCAAGGACTTCAAATCGCAAGCATTGGCTGTTACCATGGATATGGATCATAAATTTGAATTAGCCATGCAGCTAAAGGATATCAAAATAGCTTATCAGGTTGCCAAGACGATAGAGGTTTGTGGGGTTATTTATAATTTCTTACTAATGAACTACCGGTAATGTTTTTCTGTAAACCTGTATAATAAGAAAATATGTGTATAAAAACAAAAGAAACTATGATTTTAACACATGAGGGTGCTACACATTGCATTGCATTCTTTGGAGTAATAGCAATAACATGATTAGTTTTGATTGTTAATTTAGTTAGTCATTATACATTATTAAGTCAAAAAAATATATATTCACTGTTGGTGAAAAGGATTCACCATTAAAGTATGCTGCTATGGTGTGTGATAAATAACAATACTTTGTGACCTAATTAATATGCAAATCTGTAATATCTCAATCACTGTTGTAAGTAGGAGCAACCAGTGTCATAATGATAGCATTGGACAAGAGATTTGACAAACATAATATGTTTACATAATAAATAGTCATATATATTGTACAAATAAAAAATTCTGTGGAAATCTTTCACATAACAGCTATTTTGCCAAATATTTTGTTTCCATCACCATTTACATTTATGTTTATGTTTACAGAGTGAAGAGAAATGGAAACAATTGTCAGAGTTGGCGACGTCTAAATGTGAATTTAAACTAGCAGCTGAATGTTTACATAATGCACAGGATTATGGTGGACTGTTGCTATTAGCAACATGTACTGGAGATGAAACTATGGTAGAAAATATTGCGCAATCGTCAGATGAAAGCAATAAAAGCAATATTTCATTTGTATCAAATTTGCTGCTTGGGAGGTAAGACTGTCATTTCTATACTTTATGTAATCTTATCCTCGGGGGCGGAGCTATGCGGAATTTGAGTAAACAACAGGAACTCAACTTTGATGTAATCCTGAACAATCAAATTTATATGCGTTACACACGCAGGCATAATCTTGTCTCAACAATCATCCCAAAGTACCGTTTTCGGCTTTTGTTTTCACCGTGATGGTTGCCATGCAGTGAAAATGCTCGGATGTCCACCCCTGAGAATTCAAGAATAGGCCATATGAGTTATAGCATGAAAGCGCCCTCTACAAGAAATGGTTGTTAAGATAAAGGGAATTACTTGTTGTGAGAAATGTAGTATTCAGTCAGCCAAACATAAATGTGTGGATTACTGACATTTGTAAATAGATGATTCACAAGTTCAAGTGCATGCACGTGGTATGTTATCTATACATTGTAGAGCATTCACCGTTCACTGCGTTATAGTGACGTCCAAAACATTGTGTGGGATTTGACAAATGTGAAAGTCATTCACCTGTCCACATAAAGTTTGACATGTTGGAATTTTAATCTATGATTGCACTTGCACAGTCTACTGGCTGTCTGTATATAACTTTGATTTTTTACAAAGTAGTTCACTTCATACACAATTGCAGCAACAAGATACAAGTTAGTCCAGTGCTTAAAGTTCAATCAGGACGCCATTTCAGTTTTAAAATGTTTAAAACTTTATTTACATTAACATAGATGTTTTATACAACCTTGGTGGAAGGGTACTGTATAAATTGAATTAGCTAACGCACTATATTTATGCAATGGGAAAAAAATAACTAAAAATGTCAATTACAGTTACGCATCACCATTTTGATGTCTGTTGCTAAACATATATAATAATATATTAAGAGATAAAATATACACTGTAACGTTGGTATTTTACGATTTGATCCAATTTTCAGTAATTTTACATAAAGTGGTTAAAACTTGTCATTTTAACACACGTTTCTCTGATAAAGCTCACATTATTTGTTTGAATGCAGTATAATGCTGGCATTTGGTTGCCCCATTACATTTTTCACTCAGTGAACCAAATATTTTCTGCAATAATAGAATACATCACTATGACCACAAATAATCCCCATAATTGTGAATCGCTACTAGTGATGGACTGACTGGGTAATACAGAATGGGGAGTCAAATATCTCAAATTTTCAGTAGAATTTGAATATATAATTATTTTCAAGATTTCACAAGTTTTAATTTTGTGTATTTTTGTTTTCAGAGTTGAGGAATGTATTGATATCTTAGTTAAAACCGGCCGTGTTCCTGAAGCGGCTTTCTTTGCAAGAACATACATGCCAAGCAAGATGGCTCAGTAAGTGAATTGTATTTGTGTCATGATTTGAAGACAATGTATTTTCAGTTTCTGTATCTGACATACAAATCACAATTCTCTATTTTCTGTCACTCACTGTTCATGCAAAAAGTGGACAAAGTGAGAGAAAAATTAGTGACTTTAGCATAATAGACCATTTTCCGTTCACTGCGAGAATCACGCGTTATGCATGAAATCGAATGTAAAAACAAGACAAACAAAGGTCATAGCATTGTAGTGGCGTCAAACATCGCATGGGATTCCACAAACACGAAAAGATTTTGGGGGACATTTCCATGCTTAATAATGTGCTGTATACATTTGATGATAGACAATTTTGATTAAGTTAGGGTATTTGAAAGCATTCTTTTGTCGATGTGAGCTACGAAATATAGAAATTCAAGTTCAAAATCAAATCGTTCAATTTTTGCTGCAGACGTTCGACGCCCGTCTTTCATGCATCTCGCGAAATCCACAACATGCTGATGGAGTGGGAGTGTTCCATTTGTATCTAGGGCCACTCTCGCCTTTTAATAATGATTATCAAGGCAGTTCGGTGAAAAGGCAATGTTGATTACTTTGGAAAGAGAGCAGAGAAACAAAGAAAATATTCCAAAAATAAAGATTCCAAAGCCACTCCGGTAGAATTGAACATCAAAATTGAGTCTTGATCAGTGGCTGGGCTCAATCTATATCTTGATCTGTCTGTGATTGAAAGACCGTGCACAAACAAATATGTTTGTGACATGTATAAATAATTTATTGAGCTTCAAAATAAAACAAAGTGTCAAATTTAAAAGCCATAAATGTTTGGTGCCCGGTCAATGAACAGTTTGAAAATCATGATTCACAAAAGACATTCTGTACTGAAATCATCGACCTTATTCTGGTTTACCTCATTTTCTCAACTTGCAAAGAAAATGAATCACTGTGTACTGTGTAATGTATCTCGATCAAATCCTACCCTTATAATGATTTACTTCAGTGAATAATTTTGAAGCCTGTTGTGGCACAATAACACTTCATAGATTGACATCAGGGATTGGATGATGCGACAACCCTTCAATTTGTGTCAAGTGCGCTTTGTTATAACATCATTGATTGGCTGAAAGTCACCTGATAGAAGCTCAACCCGGGTCACAAAACCATATTTGTCTGTATTATCTAAAAAAAATTAAAAGCATGTCACTGTATCATTTTTCAATAGGACGACAAGGAAATCTTTTTTTTTGTGTTGGCCTTATTTTTTATGTGTGCAGGTAGTTGACAGAAGCTGTAAACGAAGCTGACTGTAACGACTGATATCAATTACATTACTATCAAAATCAAAAATAAGATGACATGTGTTGTCAAATATGACACAAAAATGAACAACAAATTTCTCTAACTTTCAAAATGGTTTCTTGAATCTATTTGTGTTTCCATGAAACAATACAGAAACATTTTCCTTGAATGATTATTTTTCTGTTCTCTTCAAAGAATTGTTAGTTTGTGGAAAGAGAATTTAGGTAAATTTGATAAGAAGAAATCGGAAGCCCTTGCCGATCCAGAAAAATATGAAAACCTGTTTGTTGGTTTGAAAGAAGCATACTATGGTGAAAAGTTTGTCAAGAAAACTGAGAAGAAATATTTGGCATCAGAATACCCAAATGTAATGGTGAGTTGATTACAATGAATATTGTTTGCTGCATAGCAATGGGACACTTCACGTTTTCAGTATTAAATTTTCTTTTGATTATTAGGTGCCATGTGAGCGTAATATTATGTCGGAGTTACAGCAAGCTTTGGAAGATGGGTTAGTGAGCATTGTGAGTACTCATCAGTGTTGTTATTAGTGTTAGTGTGTTTGTTATTGCATTGCTATTAGTGTTTGTGTGCTTGTTATTGCATTGATATTAGTGTTTGTGTGTTTGTTATTGCATTGCTATTCAATAAAATATAAGTACAACAAACTAGACATCTCTTTAGAAGTATTGTAATATTTTACTAACTCAATCCTGAAAATAAACATGGTATCTCATTGAAACCATGGTATCCTCTGATTTTTACATTTCTGTTCATCTAAATATAATGTACAGAACTAAGTCAGTTCACACTTTAAATTCTCATAATTCTTATTAGTTTATTTTCCTGTACTACTGACTATAATGAGCAAATAATACACACTTTTAGTCAATTTCAGCAGACATTTATGTTTCAATACTACTTGGAATATTTAAAATACAAACAAAATACTAATAAAGAATGGTTATTGAATACACTGGATAATGTTTGCAATCCATTATGCTAACCACTCTTATAAGATTGTGAATTAAATGGTGTTGTCAAGTCAAAAACAGAAAAAAAAGTGTTTCACAAAGTCGCAAGTCATCTTGATAACAATCTTACTTTAATTTACATATTCAATGTACCATGGTAAAGAGGTCAAAAAAATTAAATAACAATTACCATACTCAGTTCAGAGAAAATAGATCAATAAAATACTGAGTAATTAGTATATTTTGTCTGTTTTAGGGCATTTTACCAATATATTTCAATATCTCTCTCTATATTTTTAGTGGGTTTTTAATGAGGAAATGTGTTTTCATTGTTTCTATGGAAACTGCTGCTAAAATAGCATTTTATCATATTTTTTTTATCTTTTGGCAAACATCAGATTAACAGTAAACAAAAAACATACTATTGACTAATACTACAACAAATAATTGTAGACAGATTTTGCAATAAAATATTGTCACTGTTATATGCGCTAAAATATGTGAACAAACTTTGGAGTAGCATTTTATCTTAACAATATCATCTATTTTATGTCTTCCTCATAGGATGAAGAAACAAAGGATGTGAAGGTCACCATGGTAACAAAAGAACCATCTCCAGTCAGTGAAAACATGCAGAATGATGAAGAATCCAGGGAAACAAAACCTAGATCTGACACTGATGTTTCGTTAGATTTGGATATGGATAATGTGAATTATGATGATATCACAGATATTGATTTTAATATTGATGATGACATCCTAACTGATTGATATATGAATATTTTATTATAAATATTATGAAATGAAAAATCTAATTTCATTATTCAAATAAGATGAACTAATTTTAGTGAAAAACTCTTGAAAGTGGTTATGTATTGATAGAATGTTATATTAGTAATCATAAAATTATGAAAACAAATTATAAGATAAATATTTTAAAATGATATCACCAGGGAATAAATTCGTGAATATTTTAATTTATCAATGAATTTACATTTATAAAGTTGCTATTGATGATACTTTTGTCACATTTCTGTAAAATCTTTAATCAGTATTTGAATATTTTATATGAA